TCTCTCAAATAAATAAATAAAATCTTTAAAAAAAAATCAAGAGGATGGAAAAAATGTCATGTCCAATCAAAGAAAAATTATGTGGCTCTAATAACATCAGATAAAATAGATTTCAGAGAAAGGATTATTATTTTTAAGATTTTCTTCATTTCAGAGAGAGAGAGCTCAAGGGTGGTGGGGAGGGGCAGAGGGAAAAGAATTCCTCAGTCTCCTGACTGAGCATGGAGCCCCACACCACACGGGGCCCGATCTAAGACCATGAACTGAGCTGAAATCGAGAGTCGGACACTTAACCCATAGCACCACCCAGGCACCCCCAGAGGAAGGATTATTATCAGAGATAAAAAAGAGCAAAGAGGTCCATTCATCAAGAGACCATAACAAACATAAATGTTGATGCATCTGTAAGAGCTTCAGGAAACACGACACCAAATGGAGCGCCAGACAGAACTAGACCAACGCCCACTCGCTCACGTCTACCCTTCTTATCCCCATCCCCTCCATCCCCTCCCCTGCAAGTTTCCAGCAGCAACCCTAGCCCCTTCTCAGCCCTACAGCAGATCTCAGCCAGGTGCGCTTTGGTGAAGAACCAAGCCCCAGCCACCCTCATCCCTCAGACAGAGACTGTATTCCCCTGCTCCTCTGTCTTCAGTACCCACCGTGTTTATCAGCTGGGACCCCCTGAGGCCTGGCAAGGACAGAGCTGGAGAGAGACATCTGGAGAGTGACATCTCGCAAGACACCTGCCTCGGGGGAAGGCTCTGCAGACTCTCAGGGGAAGGGGGAGCCTTACTCCTGCTGGCTCAGAGGGCTCGCAGGAATGTGGTCTCGAAGATTCTCAGCCTCGTCCCTCCCAACATCGCCATCCGTGTCTGAAAGCCACTCTGCTCCTGTCAGAGCGCCGTCTTGGCTAGAGGAGGCCTGTCACATTTTCAGCTCTGCCACCCATGAGATCAGATCATAGCCTGACATCTAGCACCCATTCAAAGTACTGCTGAGCGCTGAGTGGGTGCTGAGTGGGTGCCCCCATCGGCAGCCAGGGTCATCCCATCAGAGCCCTTGCATTTGAATGTGGAACGTTCCAGGGGAACCAGGCTGCTCACCAGCAGACTCTCCTTGACCTCTTGTTGAGGGCAGCCTTGGGAGTGGGAGAAGCCTCCCCCCACCTGGGGGGTCTGCCCCCACCCCACCTCATCAGCCCTCATGCCTTCAGACCAACAACCTGGGCCAGAACCAGGCACACCCAAGTGGGGACACACAGTCTCTGCTCCCAGGGGACTAGGTTATATGGGGAAGGAGCTGCCATGTCTGGGAAGTACTGCCCACCCCCAGGGACTGGGGGGAGCCAGCTGGGAAGGGACCCTGGGGCAGAGAGTCCAGAGGGTAAGAGGCATTCATTGACGTGGGAGCACCCTCTCGTGATGCCATGGGACCAGTGTCCTGGTGAGGGCGCCCAGGATTGGTCCTAAAGCATTTCTGGAAGCTTGGCCACCCCAGTGGGCTGCTGTGAATGAGACAGAGAGCCAGGAACACACTTGGCATCACACAGGAGGCTCAGGGAAGGGAAACTGTTAGAACGGGGTTTTTTCATGATGCTAAGGAACCCGTCTGGTGACTCTGTTCCCCAAGAGGCCCCAAAGGCCCCTCGCCAGTCCCAGTGCCAGAAGTCAGCCTCGGCCCCTGCGGACATTTTTAAGCTCGTGTCTTACTTCTCCGGCACCGTTGGTAATGCTCAGCCGTCCGTGTCGGGGACACAGTGTGACTGGGAGCTGGGCTTCGCGGGCCGTCTGCCAGCCCTGCTGGGTCTCGCTCGTGGCCCCTCTGTCCTTGCACGCTTTCTCTTTTTTGCATGGAGCTCAGTGTCCTTTGGAAACTATCTGTAGGAGTAATTTGACATCCAGAATGAAGGCACTTCCCTTAGGAGAGGATCAGTGTTTGCAACTGCCCAGCCTCCATCCGGGATGTCTTTAAATGAAATGTATGGCTCGAGTTTTTTCTTTTGTTTTGTTTTTCGATTGCTTCCTTATATAATGTGATTGGGATGGAGAATCCACATCTGGGGACCCTCCCCACTTGGCCCCATGCCCAGAGGTCTCTCCCTGTGGTCCAGCCCTGGGGTGGAAGATGGGGCTGGTCCCTGGGCTGTCCCTGGGGCTCTGCAGCCCACAGGCATCGGCTCTGATCCCTGCCAGCCATGGTCCTCCCCGCTGGGTCAGAAACCACCCCAGGGACACAGTCAGAACAAACGGTGCTTGTGGGGTGTCAGAGAGGAAGAGAAGGGGCTGAGACCCACCGGGATAGAAGCTCAGGAAGGAGATGGCCTGGCCATTCTCTCCAGCAGGTGCGGCACATGGAGGGAAGGCCAGAGGACAGAGAGAAGGAGGGAACAGACAAACAAGCGACTTCTTTCTACAAATATGAGGCATGTGAGGCCCTCCCTTTGGACTCCAGGCCAGAAAGTGTGTCAGCCCTAAGGAAGGACCAGGCTGTGGACGAGGCGTGTGGGGCCCGGGCTGGGGGGCGATCAGGGCCACAGGCTGAACCACTCCCAAGAAACAGAGACCACACGGGCAGCACTGTTTGATTCCCTGTAATAAAACTGGGTCTTAAAAACAAAATCTGAACACAAAAAGACTCTTACACCTGGAAATTTAGATTTGAAAACTCTTCAGCATCTCCAGGGACAAAGGAAATACAGACACAAACTGGCCATCTACTACACCATACAGCGGAGCTCCGGGCCCAAGCCTCGGGGAGAGGCTACCAGGCATGGGAACCCTTCCACGAGGTCCGGGCCACAGCCCGTCTTAAACACAGATGTACAGGAGCTATTCTTTTATTCCCCAGAAAGGAGAATGACGTCCAGGAGGACAAAAGGAAGGAAAAGGACAAACGACTTGACCACTTCGGACTGCTGTGAAATGGAGGCCTGTTCACCGCGGCCAGTTCCCGCAGCCTGGAAGCAGCAGCAAGTGTCCGTCCCCCCAGGGAGGCGTGGGCGACCGAGGTGACTCCGGGAAGACTGTCCCTCTGTTCTTGGCTCTTCTGACACCAACCAAGAGGGCTTCCTCACCCAGTAAGTCTCCAGGGGTATAGACAGCCACAGGCTGTGTTGGCCTTTAATTCCAATGCTACATCTGATGGTAGCCGGGCTACAGGAATCCTGGGGCTCAGGGCAGGGTCCTCCGGGGGGGCTGCTGGCTGGAGCAGCGGCACGGGGCCTCCCACAGGGCTGGACCTTTCTTGGTGGCTGGGTTTCTGGGATAAATGCCCCAGGGACTCCTCCTGATAGAAGAGTCCAGACTTGACAGTACTGGCTTCCTCCTGGAAATCAGGCCGCCATGTGTGAAGTAGGCACCCAGAACCTTCATCCTGGGTGGGTATCAGAGCCACCCAATTCCACAGCCCAAGGCTCCCTCCCTGAAGCTAGAGCTCGCCTCCACCTCTGTCCATTGTGGTCAGGGCAATGCCAGACCCCGTGGGGACAAAGACAAACATGGCTGGTCCTCTGCCATCAGGACACTTGCCAATGATCAGACGAGACAGATCTTGGCCGAAGGGAGACTGTGATGTGCACTTCAGGGGAGAAAGTGAGCATCAGACTTGGGAGTCTAGGAGCCACATCTTGAAGGAGGAGAATTTCAACAGATGGGAAGGGACCCCAGGGACGTGGAACAGGACGTGCAAAGATGTGGAAATAATCTATTTGAACTGTATGAATTTGTCATTTTTACTGGGGGGAAACATGCTCAAACTTCAATAATTTCAGATGAGCCAACCTCCAGCGGGCATGTGGGCAGAGGAAGAGCCCAGTGCAGCCAGACCCGTGGTTCTCAAAATATGTTCCATGGAACCCTAGGGTCCTGAGATCCTTCAGGGGACCTGTGAGGTCAAAACTCTTTCCATTATACTAAAGCATTGTTTACCCTTCTCGCAGCACAGACATTTGTACCCATGGCCCAAAAGTCACAGTGGATAAAGCTGCTGGAACCTTGGCCCATGCCAAGGCAGGGACAGCAAATTCTAGTACCCCTCACCATCATGCACTCACAGGGAAAAAAATCCAGTTTCACTTTAAAAGGTGCTGATAGGGGCACCCGGGTGGCTCAGTAGTTAGACATCTGCCTTCGGCTTGGGTCGTGATCCCAGGGTCCTGGAATCAAGTCCCGCATCAGGCTCCCTACTCAGCGGGAAGCCTGATTCTCCCTTTCCCCCTCCCGCTGCTTGTGTTTCCTCTCTTGTTGTCTCTATCAAATAAATAAATAAAATCTTAAAAAAAAAAACAAAAACAAAAACAAAAATAAAATTTGTTTTATTTTTAAAAATAATAAAATGTGTTGATAAAAGGATAAAAAGAGTTACTTTTATTAAATCTCAACCCTGAGTACACAAATGTTTAATATTCTCCATGAAGAAATGCACGGTTCACCACTAGCCCTTCTACTGCCCCGTGAAAGGCAGTGGCTGCCCTGAGCAAAAGTACACGTGCAACCCACTGTTTGAGTTACAAGCTGAACTAGCCACTTAGTTGACACAACACCGTTTGGGTTTTTTTGTTGTTTTTTTTGTTTTTTTTTTTAAGATTTTATTTATTTATTTGACAGAGATCACAAGTAGGCAGAGAGGCAGGCAGAGAGAGAAAGGGAAACAGGCTCCCTGCTTAGCAGGGAGCCTGATGTGGGGCTCAATCCCAGGACCCTGAGACCATGACCCGAGCTGAAGGCAGAAGTTGAACCCACTGAGCCACCCAGGTGCCCCTGGGTTATTTTTATTTTTATTTTTTTAAGATTTTATTTATTTGAGAGAGAGAGAGAGCATGAGCAGGGGCAGGGGTAGAGAGAGAATCAGACTCCCCACTGAGCAGGTAGCTGGACACGGGGCTCAATCCCAGGGCCCCAGGATCATGACCTGAGCCAAAGGCAGATGCTTCACCTACTGAGCCACCCCAGGTGCCCCTGGAAAACCACTTTTACTTGAAAGAATAACCAATGGACAGACTATTCAGTTGTTGACGGCATTTTCTTGAGAATGGAGGATGTGGGCTGGCTGCTTCAGAGTAAACAACAGACAGTATTTGTTGCCAATGATAAAAATTTGAGACCTCAAAGCAAAAATCAGGATTCTGGAAAACTTGTGTCTTCCACTGTGAGCCTGGGATTCCCAACTGCTACAAACTCTTCTGATGAAACTGATGGCAGCATCCACAATGGTGCTTTTTGGATAAGGTATGATAAAACGTGCCAACACCTGGATCCGTGTCACTCCGTGGACTGGTGTTTGCCAGGTGACAAACACTCGATGTCACGAATTCACATACAGGTAGAAGAGCCATTCAAAGTGCAAGACGGGCCACAACGGATTTTACTACAACAGAGCATGCAAAGTTCATAAAACTCATCCAGCTGCTTTCAGAATCCATGTCCTAATCTTTAATCAACTACCACCTGTCCAGTTTGGGTCTGGTATCAAAGAAGAATAACAAATATCTAAAAGAGGCATGACAGTACCCTCCCCTTCCCCAATAGGAACTAGTTTATGAATGGCTGGACCTTCCCCACAGGCTTCAGCCAGAGTCTGTCACAACAGATTGAACACAGCAGCAGACACGAGGATCTACCTGTCTCCTACCAAGCCAGACAAAGCCATTTGCAAACGTATGAAACAATAACACCCATATTAAGTTCGTTATTATTTCAGCAAATAGTTAATTTTTTTCTCTTAAAAATCATTATTTGTCATGTTAACATGTTATGGGTTTATTATTATTTTAAAATTAATATTTCTAAATTAGTGTTTTTTAAAGTTTTTTTCAAGATTTTATTTATTTATTTGACAGACAGAGATCACAAGTAGGCAGAGAGGCAGGCAGACAGAGAGGAGGAAGCAGGCTCCCTGCCGAGCAGAGAGCCCGATGTGGGGCTCAATCCCAGGACCCTGGGATCATGACCTGAGGTGAAGGCAGATTCTTAAGCCACTGAGCCACCCAGGTGCCCATCTTGGTTTTAATTTCTAATGTGATACATATAATCACATAACCCATGGTTCTTTAGTTTAGTAATTGTTCAGAGTAAAGGGGTCCTGAGATGAAAATATCTGAGAACTGCTGGCCTAGGCCACAAGGTGAGGCTGTTTCTACTGAAAACAAGTAGATCGTGCTCCGGCTGCCCCTTGACCAGGCTCCCCACCCTGCCCAGGGCTGGACCCTCTCCTGCCACCTCCCCTGGAGCCTTGCAGCCTGGGTCACCTTGTCTGAGCTGGGGATAGCAGCAGCAGCAGCAGCAGCAGGACCTTCTCTTGACCTTGATCTCCTCCTCCAAGTCCATAGAGCTGCGCGGCTGGTCCTGTGTGCTGGGAGTGGTGAGACAGCCTCTGTGCACCTGTGAGTGTGCACAAATGAAGTCTGGAGTACTGTCTTCCAGGACAACTGGGACACTAGCAGATTCTCCAAGACCCCACCCACCCTTCCCTCTGGGGGCCCCTAGGCAGCCTAGCAGGGAGCTCTGGGAATTCTGAGAACAAGTCAGGACAGAAACACTCTGAGGGTCCTGCCCAGTGAAGCCTGGGAGTGGGGGGCAGCAGGGAGACCAACCTCCCTAAGACCCCCAGGTGGGTGACAGTCCTGCCCTGCCTACAGCATTTTGTTGGGAACTCTGGGCAAGTCCTTGCCCAGACCCTTGTTCTCTGGCCTCAGTTTCCCTATGTGGGAATGGGGGGTCACTGAGCTGTGAGACTCCAGTCTAAGGTTTGCAGTCCTAGCAGAGACTGACCCTCCGTACCTAGGGACTTGTGCCTTTGGCGTGGCCTTGCCCCACCTGGGCCCCGGCAGTACCCCACCTTTGCAGGCTTCCCCTCCCCCTCTCTACCCACCCCCACCCCTTATTCTCCCTCATACCTCACATAACCTGGGAATCTGTCCCGGAAGGAGGCCAGCCAGTCATCCACGGTCTCCCTGCTCTTGTTCTCAGTGGACTGGAAGATCTCCATGATGGGCTCCTGTGGGTTGGCCAAGCTGAGGTCCTGCAGGGAGCGGTGCTGGGTGAGCCCAGGCCCTGTGTTCCCAGCCTCCTCTCTTAGGAGGACCCACCTGCCTCATCCCTGTGCAGGCCCACACCCTGGGTCTACCCCCTCAGGCCCAGGGCCGGCACAGCTGGTCAGGGTTCTCCGGTGCTGCTGACGTTACCTCCTGAGCTCCCCAGAGGCTTTCTTGGGCTGGGGGACAGGGGAGGGGGGGCTGCCTACCCCTAGCTTGCGACCTCCCCGACCCCATCTCTCAGCCTTTGCGGTGAAAGCAGGAGGCCCCAGCCTCAAGTGTGGGATTCAAGGCCCAGTGCTGGCGGGCCTGAGCGTGGTTTGAGTGAGGAGAGCACACCCAGCCCAGGCAGGGGGCCAGGAGAGACAAGATCTGGAGAGGGAGAACAAAGCCCCACAGCCCCTGGCCCACCTGAGGGGCCTGTGGCTCACCCGGTACTTGGTGAAGATGTTGTGCAGAGCCCTGGTGTCTGTCTGCACCTGATCCTGCAGGCCCTCCCACTTCCTGGGCTCCAGCGTCCTAAGGTAGGTGGCCAGGGCGCAGACATACTCCCCAAAGACCACCATGTGCAAACGTCGCATGGTTCTCTGCTCCCCCAAAAGAACAAAGAGATGGAGAGGCCTGAGGGAAAGCTGTCCCAGGACCTGGTCTGGCTGGTCCTCGTGGATGGGGCTGGTGGGCTGCCAAACAAATGCCTCTCGCCCGGGCCCAGCAGGGGCCTGTCCCCACCACCATTCGGATGGAAACCCTAGCTGGTTTCTTGGCAAGTCAGTGCCCACCCCGCCCCACAAGTTGGCCTCCTACCTCGTACGTGGCAGTGGAGTGCATGGTGGGGCAGCCCTCCAGGCCCTGCCATGGGAACTGCAGAGCTCCAACCAGACCCTTGTTCTTCTGCCCGAAGTGGTCCTTCAGCAGACTCTGAGGACAGGAGGGTCTGACGTCATGGAGGCCCGAGGCACCCGGCTGGCTCCGCTCTCTCACACCCTTGTCTAGTCTCTCCAGCCTTACGCGCCCTGCCTCTCCTCACTGGGCGCACAGTCCCGGACCAGAAGGGCCCACACGGAGGGAGCCAGTGGCTCATCCACTGTCCCAAAGCTCCGTCCACCCTCCCCCCGCCAACTCCAGGGAGCGGCCCAGACTTGAGCTCCTTCTTGGTGCCCTCCCAAGTCCTCCCAGGTCTCTCCCCTTGGTCCCCACAGGACCAAGGCCTCACACGGGACCTCAATGATACTTCTGCCTCCAGATTAGCCTCCTGAGACATGGGACAAGGGCCTGCTTGGTTCTCAGTGGACACCAGAGGGCATGGGCAAAGGGGGCAAGGCCAGCCCACTCGGTGTTTAACCAGGGGACCCGAGAAGTCCCCTGGCATCCCCGCCCACCAGTGCCCTTCCGCAGCCTCGTCCGCCTCATCTACAAAACAGGGTGCCAAGGCCAATCCATGAGCTGTGGCTGCCTGGAGCTCTGTGTAGAGAAGGACCCCATGGTTCCAAATGGACCAGAGCAGAACAGAATGCTGGGATTGATTAGTAAGGTCTCCCATGGCCCAGGGTGAGGCAAGGCAGCACATCAGCATTCCTGGGAGGGCATGACCTCTCTGGGTCCTCCCAGGCACTCAAATCTCTGTGGAAAATCCAATGGCAGATGTCTCAGGAGCCGGTGGCACAGTGGAAAATGGATCACTGCACAGAGTTGCAGGAATGGAGACCTGCCCGCTACCACCTCCTATCTTCCACCCAGGAAGCCCCATGAGGACAGGGCCCTGAACCTCCAGTTTGAATGAGAAATGCCCTCCCATGATTTCCACATCCTAGGAGACCACCTTGCCTTCTCAAGATGTCAGCTCTGGGGCCAGCCCCTGGGTTTCCTCAGGGACTGCATTCTCTGGGGTATGTGGCAGCCACAGCTCAGGGGAGACAAAGATGGGCAGGCAGAGGCTCTGGGACATAGTGAAGGGACTCCACCTGCCCTGGGTACAGAACCAGATCAGGAGAGAGGGAGAAGGTGTCAGGCCTCAGCTGACCTGGCAGGAGAGCGGTTTCACAGGTGGAGAAAAGAAGAGGGGACAAAGGAAGTTGCCCTCAGGGAGGAGGGAACGGCCTCAGAAGGGGCAGAGAGCCCAAGCCCTGGGTGTCCCAGCCCACCCACAGGGACAGGGCCCCTCCCTCAAGCCACTCAGGAAGCTGGCCCTGACCTTCTGCTCCAATGGCATGGGGAAGGCAAGAGGCCTGACCAGCACCTTGCCCTGTCACCCCAACAAAGGCTCTGCTGGGCTGGGCACAAGTCCAGGGAGACACAGGCAGGTGCCTCCTGCCTAGGTTCTCTGAGAGCAGCAAAGACCCCTCAGGGGAGCAGGGGACAGAGGGTGGCATCACCTGGCACAAGGCTCTGACTCTAGGCAGGAGGTGATCCCGGCTGTGGTCCTCAATGTCATGGATGGTCCCTTGCACATAGGGGCCCAGGTCCACCAGCGGATCGCGTTTCTGGGTCAGCTCCTGCCACGTTTCCCTGGTGGGGCAACCAGTGGGGTCCATGGGGCCTGGCCCAGAGCCTGCCACAGCCCCAGGCTGCACATCACCCACACCGGTGCCCCTCCCCGCACTCGTGGACGCCCCCTCATTTCTGCTGCTGTTGCTGTCCACCCCATCCACTGTTTTCTCTGACCATATTGACAGACTGTTGTATCTACGTGGCTTAAAATGCCGAAGGTACGGTGGGAGACTCCTTTGCCAGAGGCAACCAGGGCCACTGACAGCTGGCGTTCCCATACGCACACGGGGGTGTTAGCCCGCTTCTCACAGGTGGTCCACGCAGACCTGCGCCCTGGCGGGGCCCTGGCGGGCCGGCTCCCACTGCCGCCGCCCACGCCCAGCCACACCCGGCCACGCCCACCAGCCCCGCCCACACCCGCTCTCCGCCCTCCAACACAGCCACTGACAACGCCCACACCGGCCACACCCCGACACGCCCACTAGCCCCGCCCACACGCGGGCCGCACCCGCACGCACCTGAGGATGCTGCAGTTTGCCAGCACGTGCACCTCTGGGAAGGCCCCAGCAACCGCGTTCTGCTGGATGAAGCCGATAGCCTTCTTCTGGTAGCTGCAGTGGCGAATGGAGATGAGTCCCTGCCCCCAGCCCGGCCCCGAGGACTTGCTCCCTCCCCATTTCACTGCTGCCTCCCTAGCAGAATCACACATGTGGGTGACCACACCCCAGCTGTCAGACCCTGCAGCCAGATGCTTCCTAAGGACCTTTTCATTTAATGCTCTCGGTGACCGTTAGTGGTAGATGCTTCCAGAACAAGACGGGAGTGGTTTTTCCCTGTGGACGTGGGAACTGCCGCGAATGCTGTATTTGAGAGCTGCGCCCGCCCCCACCCCCGCAGTGAAGGAAGGGGAAGGAGGGGAGGCAGTGCTCCCGGAGCCAGGCTGGCCCTCCACCCAGAAAGTCGGGGTGAGGCCTGGGGGTGCTAAGCTCTCAGGAAGGGGAGGCTGGCACCCCCAGGCCTGGGATGGGCCTCTGAAGCTCCCTTACAACAGAGAACAGGGAGAGGATCAGGGACAGCACACTCCTCCCCAAAGACAGGAAAAAAAGGGCACCCTCACTTGTCTGAGTCCCAATAACACAGATCAACCTGGCCACTGGCCACATTTTCTTAAACATTTAAAACCTGGCTGGATTTACTGAAAAATCCAGTTTGGTCTCTCTTAAGTAACCTGCTTCATGTCCGCCTGTAATGGAGCCCATCGTAGGTGAACACAGCTTCTCTGAAGGCCCCAGAGAGAGACGCCTCGAGATGTGGTCTACACAGTGCTCAGTCTGAGATGGGGAGCCCACAACACGGACCCCCCCAGCCCCAGCCCGGCAGGAAAGAGGCATGGTCCCCACCCAAACCCTGAGGCCAGGGCAGAGCCGGGTGTGTGGTGCAGGGGTCTGATGGTGAAAAGCAGAGGAAACAGGGAGGCTGGTCATCCACTGGGTCCCTGGCCAGGATCCGTAACCGAGATAATATTTGAATGAAATATTTTTAAAAATTCAAAATCAGTCCAAAGCATCCATCATGAGCAAACCACCAAATTTTAAATAAGGACAGAATTCAACCCTGTACATTCATGACTCCCCTCCTGCGCTTCCCCCTAATCCTAGTCCTGCTGCCCAGTATGGGAGCCACAGCCCAGTGTGGTGTTTAAAGGTCAACTAATTGGGGCGCCTGGGTGGCTCAGTGGTTTAGGCCTCTGCCTTCGGCTCAGGTCATGTCTCAGGGTCCTGGGATCAAGCCCCGCATTGGGCTCTCTGCTCAGCGGGGAGCCTGCTTCCCTTCCTCTCTCTCTGCCTGCCTGTCTGCCTACTTGTGATCTCTGCCTGTCAAATAAATAAATAAAATCTCTAAAAAAAAATTGTTTAAAAAAATAATAATAATAATAAAAAATAAAGGTCAACTAATTAAAATTAAATAAAATTTAACCGTGGTGTCTCCATGGAACTAGCTCGATGGCCACACGAGGCCAGAGGCCCCATGTCAGACAGTGCCGCCATGGGACATTTCTAGAGCCACGGCGGGAAGTGAAGCCAGCCAGACTGGGAGCACCCAAAGCTGATGCTTGAACGTTCCCCTGCTTTGGGAACTGGCCAAGCACCTGGCATTCAGTGGTCAGAGGCTGGGGCAGCACTCGAACTGGGGTTCTGTGGACCCAGCCTCCCATGCCTTCTTCTCTGAGCAAGGACCACCTTTTCACTTACCTTTTCAGAAAGTCTGAAAATTTTTCCAGAACCATCCCTTGCACCTGGCTACTGATAGGTAGTCCCATGGGGTGTACTGCATTCATGCTTTCTTCCAGCAGCTGTCAGTCAAAGCAAGTGGGCTCTCAGGGGGACCCAGGAACCTGTCACACAGCCAGTGGACCCCAGGAGACTGTGTCCCCCCTCAACGTGACTGACACTGTTCTTGCAGGAAGGGCTGGCATGCACAGGCTGCCCCAACACCTGTGCCACTCTGCAGGTGGCACAGAGCAGACTCCTCCCACTGGGCCCTCACTACCCCTTCCACCCCCCCCCATCTTGCCAGGCCTCTCCCTTGAACCCTCCACCATGTCCCTCCCTTCACCATCACCACACACGCTGGTGGCCTCTCCTGCTCCTGGGCCGAACATCCTTTACCCCAATAGGGCTCCACCCTCTCTCTAAGGCGTCCTCAGATAGCGATCCCAGTGCAGGTCCTACCTGAGGCCCAAGCAAGACTGTGAGTTGAGACATTCCAGGAAGGGGCCCCTCCCCAGAGGATATGCCCAGCAGCCCTGCCCTGGGGCCCCTCAGACTCTGATGCTTCAATGCCCGGAGCCCGCCCTCCACCCTGCCGCCCAACCTTGCTGCACCTGTCAGTCATCCCCCCTCACCAGGCCAGGTGCTCAGGAAGGGGCCAACGACCCCGTGTGGCAGGCTGGGAGGGTGCAGACAGGTGCGTACCTGGAAAATGTCGAGAAACGTTGGGTGGGAACACTGGGCCCACTTTTTCAGATCATAGAACAGGACTCTGTCTAGATGCTTTCTCAACTCTTCCTGCCCAGAAAACAGTAAAAGCAACTTCTGTCCCCACCCCCATTCCTCTCTGGGGCACACCAGATCCAGTCCCCAGCTGAGGACGGGGGAGAGGGTGAGAACCGGAGCCAGCCCAGGGACCGTCGGCCAGCGGCCTGAAATCCACCCAACCCCGAGGGACCCAGTTCCGAGTAAACCTCCTCTTTCACAGCCTCCAGCCCTCCAACACACAGCACATCCCTTGACAGATGGGGTGTGGGAGAACAGGGAATGCTAAGACCTGTCTTCCTTCATTCAGCCCAGACTGCAACTCCACAGTTTTGGGGGGAACCACAAAGGACAAGGGGCCTCAAAACCCAGGGGCTTCGAGGAGACAGAGCCCTGAGTTCGCAGCCAAGGAAAAGGCCAGACACTTATATACCAGTTACTGGAAAGTTCCAGCTAAATCGATACCGATTCTTTGTGGCACCATCGTAAAGCTTTGTCTCTCAGTCCATGAGCTAAGAAAGGCAAAGGGCTTCCATGTATCCTGAACATCTCTTCCACCGGTCCCCAGGACTCATGACACGTCTGTGCCAAGACCAGGAGCACTGGTACAGGAGATCACGTTGGTTAAAAGCGATCACAGCTGGAGAGTGCGCTGTCCCCTCCAGTCCTCCTTGCGCCTGCCGTGGATTCACCACATGCACCCACCTTGGGGCGGCCGGCTTTCCACCCGGGGCTCACTGGCCCTGCTCTGGAGCCGCTGGTATGGAAGAAGCCAGACGGTCCTCACTGGTCAAGGCAGAGACCTCCAGTCAGGCGCTCTCCCTAGGGGCCTGCTAGATGATGCTCCTCCCACCTCGGAGCCCCAGCCACTGTTACCTCCCACATGACGGTGCTCAACCACCACTCCTGCAGCCCCCCACCCAGGGCCACCCTGGCCCAGCCTCTGCCTGCTGGGCCCCAGATGCGGGACGAGGAGGCCTCTGGGTGACAGATGCTGCTGGACCCATTTACCTGGATCAGCCCTACCAGCATCTGCTGCATTTGGGACATCCAAGTAACAAACATCAGGGGGTCCAGGAGATGCCCAGCCACGGGCTCCCGGGAGGTCCGGCGCCCTTTTGCAAGTGTCTCCCTGCTGGGTTAGAAGGAGCCATGAGGGACCAAGAGCTGAGCCAGGTTGGCGGAGGGGCGGTGGCGTGGAGAACAGCTCGGTGCTAAGGGCAGGGCACCCCAGGCCGGGCCTTGCCCCCTCCCCAGCCTGTGCTGCCCATCCCCCAGCCCTGCACAAGCCCCGTGACTGGAGAGGGCAGCCGGGGTTGAGAAGTGGGAGGGAGAGGCTCTGTTGCTGTCAACAAGTCGGCGGTCTCACACACACACACACACACACACACACCCCAATGCACTAAACACCCATATGTACACCACACAACAGACACACAGGCATGCACGAACACAGGCCTGTGCACACGCTGTCCCCAAGGCCAGCTGCGTCCGCCCTTCTCCGACCACCGGCCCCGCCCCCGAGGCTCCTCTGAATGCTCTCCGTGGACCACAGCTCTGGCCCGAGGGCCTCCCCCAGAGCAGTGGCCTCCCTAGCACCCCAAGATCCCCCAAGAGGACTCACCCAGGCTGCTCGAACAAGTTGGTCTTGCCCCAGGTGTACAGGACCTGACAGCTTTTCAAGTCAGTGCCGCAGGACTGAGTGAGCTTGGAGAGGCGGCCGAGGAGAACCTCGTGGAAGTAAGTCCTGTAGACCTCCCAGAGGCAGGTCCCCAACCGGCTCGCCCGTGGGGACGCCAGGCCCTGTCTCACTGCCTTGTCTAGCTTCTCCAGGTACAGGTCCAGCTGGTCCTTGGGGCCCAGGGTGGGCACTCGGGTCTCAGCATCATTTCTCAGTAACTTATTCAGCTGACCGGCCCAGGTGGCCACTCCGCCGTCCTGGGGGGCACTGGCCTTCCACCTTTCATGCTGGTCCTGTGTCCACTCCACAGTGGCCAGCACCGCCTGGAGCTTCTGCTCCAGCTCCCGGCTGGGCCCAGTGCCGTCCAGAGCCTGCTGGACAACCTGCCACATGCTCCGGGCCACAGCCTCATACTGGGGGCTGCAGTCCTGCCCTTCCTCCTCCAACGTGGAGATGGTCTGGCAGGCCTCCCAGAACTGCCCATCCTGGACCAACTCCAGGAAGCCTGGAAGAAAGAGAGCAAAAGAACGGCTCAGCAGGGTGCCTGGAAGAACTGTGGATCCGGGAGGGGGAGGGGTGCCCTGGAGTTGGGTGGGGGTGGGCTGTACGGAACCCATCCATCCAGGGACCAGCAAGAAGACCCGGAGAAGGTTTCAAGAGCCTTTGGGAAAGAAGCGCCTCGTGGCCAGTCAAGATCAGAAGGCCACAGGCTTATTACAATGATTGCAGAAGACCTGTGGGCTTCCAGTATCGCCTCTGGAGCAGAAAAACCTAACACCCGCAGTTTCTTCCCGAGAACCTGTAAGCTCCCAAGGCCCTGCATGGTCCATGTCTTCCTCAGCTGTGGGCCTGCTAACCCAACACAGAGACAGCAGAAGCATTTTCCCCACCAGAGGGCCAGAGAGGGAGGTCCAGCAGACTTAGTGGAAAATGTTCTAGCAAGGGGTTCTCAGAAGGAATGCACATCAGGATCACAACCCAGACTGGAATGTGCATTTCTTTCTTTCTTTTTTCTTTTTTTTAAGATTTTATTTATTCATTTAAAAAAGATATAGAGACAGAGAGGGAGAGAGAGTGAGCACAAGCAGGGGGAGAGGCAGAGGGAAAGGGAGAAGCAGACTCCCTGCTGAGCCCCCACAAGGGGCTCCATCCCAGGACCTGGAGATCATGACCTGAGCCAAAGGCAGACACTTAAACCCTCTGAGCCACCCAGGTGCCCTGGAATGTGCATTTCTGACAGGTGCCCAGGAGGTGTTAATGGTGCTGGTCCTGGGCCTCCTGCTGTGCCCAGAGGGAGAGACGGGAAGGGAAGGATTCTGCTTTGGATCCCAGAGGAACCCCACCATGACTCTCCAGCCTGTAGCTGCAGGAGGCTGGTCCAGTGAGACTCAACACCAAAGGAGGAATTGGTGGGCAGGGTTGTCCAAAGCATTTGAACACTTACACACCAATTCTTCTGGACTTTAACTTGAAAGGGCATTTTTGAGCTTTAACTTCTCCTGGAAATTTCAAAGTGAGAGGGCAGTTATATTCCAAGTTGCGGCTCAGAGTGCCTTTCTGTTGTCAAGGGCAAGATGTCCTCCCCTTTCCTATTTCTCCTTCCTGACAGCTGGAATGTACATGTGAGGCCAGGACCGGGGCAGCCATTCTGGGCCATGAGACAGGAACCCCATGTGGAGGATAATGAAGGAATACAATGGAGAGGTCTGGGTCTCTGAGCCCTGAGAAGCCCCGAACCACCCACTCAAATCTTCCATGAGAGAAGCAAATTTTATCTTGCTTTATCTTAAGTCCCTAGTTCATTGGGTCTCTCAGTGAAAACATCTGAACTTATAATAATACAAAGAATTGAGGAGGAGTGGAGTATGGGATGGAAATTATTTTGAATCCAAACAGGATGGCCTTCCACGCATGTAATTATTTTGAGTCCCTATCCCATCTCATAGACAGCTCCTTGCTGCTAGTAATTAATTAGCTTGACTCAACACTAGGAACTGTAAGTGCGGCAACCTCTGTGGTTTCATCTAGAGGGCTGCTCGGACATCCTTCCCTTTCCTTCCAGAGCCCCACCGTCCAACACGGCAGCCCCAAGCCCCACGTGGTTACTGAGCCCTTGAAATGTGCAAACTTAACTGTTGTCAGTGTAGACCACACAGCAGAATTCAAAGACTTAGTGGGGGCGGGGCAGGGGGAGAGAACAATTTTAAATATCTTGATTCTAATACTGATGGAAAGTTGAAACATGCTGAAATACTATGTTAGCTATATTGGGCTAAATAAAGTATATTACTGAAATTAATTTCACCTGTCTCTTATATTTTTAGTGTGACTCCTGAAAACTGCTCCCGCACTATTTCCCCAGGACAGCACTCACTCCTCTAGAACCCGCTTGCTCCCTCCCTCCAACATGGGGCCCCTGTTTATCTTGCACCAACCTGGCTGTTTTCTGGGTGGGAGGCCGTCATCCCCCTACCCAAAAACAAAAGAGCTGATCTTACAAAGCCCTGAGACCTCCCGGGCTTTGTGGAAACATGGCTGCATTGGTACCGTTTCTTTAGCAAGGATACTGGGGGGCATGGTCAGGCAGGCAAAGGCAGATGTGGGGGTGGGGGCCGCTGTTGTGTCCACCAGTGTCCCAGGCAGGCCCGTTGAGCCGAGCACAGCTTGGCTGCTCCCGGCCACCAGCCCATCTCCTGGCATCACAGGCCAGCAACACGAGGTGCCGGCAACAGCTGGCCAGAGAACGAAAGTGAAATGCCCCTGAACAGTGACCATCCTGGTAAGGTTGCCCTGATGTCACCAGGCACAGGGCAAGCGAGGATGGGGGGGGACCCTCAAAGATGCCATCGCTTGTGAACCAACTGGTAAACACTTGTCCCCTCTTGAATGACAATGCCTGGTGCCAGAGACGGAAAGGAGCTGGTGACATCTTATGGCCCCATGACCCCACGCTCCCAGGGCCATTCTGCAACCTCCCCCCGGCCTCAGGGAAAAGCTGAAACATTTGCCCCTCAGAAAAATATTCCCCAGATTGTCGAGGTCCCAGCTCCTCCCACAAACCCACAGCGGACCAGAGCTTTCATAAGCGGCCCAGCCCCAGCCCTGCCATTGCACTCAAGGTCATTCAGCGAGCTTCTCTGGGCACAGACCCACACTGGGTCACGGGGACACAAACACGGCTCAGACACAGACGCCCCGCACACAGCTCCAGCCCCACCCCGGACCCCTCTTCACTCACTCCTGTAGCCCTAGCCTGGGGCTCAAGCCGGAGCCCGCTCTGCCAGCCCGCATCGGAACCGTGACCTTCTCAGTGGCTGCGGGTCCCCAGGCAAAGAGCCCCACCACCCTGAACCTTGGTTTTGCCAGCTTTGCCACCGGGAGGTGCTTCTCACAGGTGTGGTGACTACGGGCCTCTTCACTGGGCTTCAGTCCTTCTGCTCCCCCCACACCGAGTCAGAGCCCCCTGGGCTCAGCCGCCCACACCCACGGCCTGCTGCATGGTGGGTGGAGGGGCCAGCGAGCAGCCCCGCTCACCATGGGGGTCCAGGCATACTTCTTGCTGTGCCCGGTCCCCTCCAGGCGCCCAGAGTGACATCTGCAAGGCTGGCACGTACAGTAAATACTGCACGAAACGATAAACACGTGAGCAAAAACATGAAGGAACGGGACAAAGGCTCCAGATATAAAGGTAAGACCCAGGGACGCCTGGGAGGCCCAGTCCCTCGAGCGTCTGCCTTCGGCTCTTATCGCGATCCCAGGGTCCTGGGGTCAGCGGGAAGCCTGCTTCTCCCTCTGCCTGCCCCCCCCCACCGCTGTACTCTCTCTCTTGCTCACTCTCTCTCTCAAATAAATAATCTTTAAAAGAAATACATAAGGCAAGACGCCTACCTTTGGAAGTTTCTGTCAGATGAAAAACATTTTGGGGTCCTTTATTTCTGAGCAATCGTCCCAAAAACCCTGCGATCCACTGCGCCAGCTTTGGAGGACAGCACTTGCACTGTTGCCTCCGGTTCCCCTGGGCATCACTGGGCAGGATTTGTTGGAGCTCGCTGTCTGCTTTTTCTTCTTCCAGCCTGTGTTTCTTCTTGCCCCAGAGGACCTTTCTTTTCAGCCGGTCCATCTCTCTGCCTTTGTGCCCGACTGCAGCGGGCCTTAGAGACGCCCTCCCACCCGCCTGCAACCGAACAAAAGAAATAAATAGGAGAAAGCTGGAAACTTCCAGAGAAACTTCCTCTGCATCTACAAATACAGGTGTTGGGCGCCTGGGTGGCTCAGTGGGTTAAGCCTCTGCCTTCAGCTCAGGTCATGGTCCCAGGATCCTGGGATCGAGCCCCACATCAGGTTCTCTGCTCAGTGAGGAGCCTGCTTCTCTCTCTCCCTCTGTCTGCTCCTCCCCCTGCTCGTGTGCTTTCCCCCAAATAAGTAAATAAATCTTTTTTTTTTAAATGTTGAATGATTCACGAATTTGTGTGTCGTGGTCATGCAGGGGCCGTGCCCATCTTCTCTGTATCCTTCCACTTTTAGTGTATGTGCTGCTGAAATGAGAACGCTCTTTTTACTTATGGTAAAACACGCACAACATCCTAGTCACTATTCTGACCATTTGTAAAGAGACCATTCAGCGCTCAGCGTAACACCCCTTAACTAAGTTGTGCGATTGTCCCCACCATCCATCTCCAGAACTTTTTGGTCATTGCAAACAAAAACTTGTCCCCTTTGAACAGGAACCCCCATCCCTCCACCCCAGCCCCTGATGCCCACCACCCTACTTTCTGTCTCTGTGACTCTGACCCTTCTAGGGACCTCACAGAGGTGGAACCACAAGGCGTTTGTCCTTGTGTGGCTGATACCATGTCCTCAAGCTTCATCCATGTTGTAGCAGAATTTCCTCCCCCCTTTTTTTTTTTTTAAGATTTTATCTATTTATTTGACAGAAAGAGAAAGCGAGAGAGGGAACACAAGCCGGGGGAGCGGGAGAGAGGAGGAAGCAGGCTCCCCACTGAGCAGAGCCCGATGCAGGGCTCCATCCCAGGACCCTGGGATCATGACCTGAACCAAGGCAGAGGCTCAAAGAGTGAGCCACCCAGGCACCCTACTTCCTTTTTAAGGCTGCGACGTACTCCACCGCGAGCACGGGCTGCCCCTCTGTACGAACTCGTGCGTCCATGGACACTTGGACGGCTTCACATGTCAGCTCCCGTGGATAATGCTGTTGAACGTGGCCATGCAGACGTCGATTCAAGTCCCCGCTCCCCGTCTCTAGCTGTGGTTTCGCTCTCACTGACAAGGGCATGATCTCTGCTGTGGTTCTTGAAAGCCTCTCTCTCCTTGGAAGCGCTCACTGCCCAGGAGGCCACACTGGACCCTGCCACCCGCAGCATCGCCCAGACCCTGGAGCGGCTTCTGTCCAGTGTGGGCCAGTGCCACCTTTCTCCCTCTGGACACCCGCTCCCCAGCCGCAGTGACCTAACGGTGCCCCCTCTGGGCTCTGAACTGACAGGCCAGCCCTGCCTTCCACATCCAACATGGAAACTCGGCTCTACCTCCCCCAGATGACAGTTGTCAGCCGTTAGCCAGGAAGCCCCTAGGACACATTGGGGGTTTCCTACCTGGACCCCACACAGCCCGTAGGAGTGTCCTGCTGCTTCTGTAACAAATTACTGTACGCAGAGAGGCCCAACCGCACAAGCTTCCTGTGCTTCTGCTGTGCAGTCAGAGTTCTGGCTGGGGTGTCTCTGGGGTGTGTCCCCCCTCCGTTTCCTGTGTTCCCCCCTTCCAGATGCTGCCTGCCCTCGTGGCTCACGGAGCCTTTCCTCCAGGCTGCAGACCCAGCAACTCCCAGCTTACATCCGCTCTCGGCTCTGCCTCAGTTTCCCCCTGTGAAGGACCCCGTGATGGCCGCACGCCCCCCGGCCTCCCAGGCTGGGTCCCTCTGTGAGGTGCTCCACCAGCAGCCTCATTTCCGTCGGCATCCGTCGCTCCCCTTTGTGGTGGAAACAGGCGTGTGCGCGGTGTCTTGGGGGTGTTGTTCTGTTTGCCACACACCCCCTTAGCGGCAACCTCCCCCCTCTCCCAGCTTCACCGCATGACTTCCGGCAGTGCTGGACGCCTCCACGCTCCAGCGGCCAAGGGTGGGCCACCAAAATGGCCTGTGGATTATTTTAAATGAAAGCTATTTGGGAAGGTCCTTCAGACCCTCCTCTGTGCCCCGAAAGCAGAAAGTAAGTCCTCCCCATGAAAGGCGCCCTGTCAGTAAAGAAAAAGACAGCCTCATCACCAGAGATAGGAAAGTCAGAGCCAACGAGGCCATATAAACAGCTGTTGACTTTTCACTAATCTCCTACTTGGGTCCAAAACCCTTTGGTTTTTTCCTCCTGTGGATCTGTCTCCGGTCACTTTAATTCTCCTTCCGGCTGGGTGGAGAGGAGTGTGTGCTCCCCTACAGCATTGGCCCCTCCAAATCCCCACCCCACCAAGGCAGCGGGATCCGGTCTTTCCTCGAAGGGATCACACAGCACAGGCCCGTGGGCCTCGTCATGAAGGCCCGTTCGGCACGCGAGAACAGTCCTCTGTTTCTGGAACAGCGGCCTAAGGACCGCCCTGGCTTAGCCGCCGTTCCCTGTGGTCAGTACTTCCTGCTCACAGAGACAGAAACACGCATGTACCCACACTGCACGACGGGACACGGTGACAGAATACACGGAGTTCTCAGGGGTCTGGACACCGCCATACACGCATACCACAATATCCCCCCGTGTGTGTAAAATAGGGCTTCTGTCCCGAGCAGGGCGCTTGTCCTGGACAACCTCCTTCACTCCCTGACAGCGACACGGGGCAGGCCCTAACTGACAGGTGCCGCGGGACAAGGCGATGCCTGGGACTCTGGAGCTAGAAGGTGCTGGAACCCAGGTTTAGCCTGTGGAGCAGCTCCTCCGAGAAACGCTGGGGACGAGGGATGCTCCCAGAGGATCCATTTTTCCTGATCCAAAGACCTTTGGGCTGTGAATGTATCCAGATTCCAGAACCAGAAAGGTGCTCCCACAGCCTGAAGGGAAGTCCGTACACATGTGCTTGCCCAGGCCACACCCCCGGGTGTGAGCGCTCACACGCGTTCAGATGAAAGGGGTCAACCTTCGGGGGCCTTGGCGAGGCTGTGGGGACAAAGGGGTGACCAGCAGGGACAGGAGGGGGAACCAAGAACAAAACCACCCCCTCAGCTGGGCTTGGGACCAGCAGAGGAGCCACCACCCCCATCACTAGATGCCTCGCTCCTGTAAACTGATAAACTCCAGACTTGGGAAACTCTTGGGGCCAGAAGGTGGGTCTGCCAGGCCGGAGTGAAACCGTCTCCGGGAATCCCCGAAGGTCCCATTCTGTTCAGGAAGGAAAGGGTTTTACTTTCAGTTTTGCTTACCATTTTTCTGTTGTTTCTCGGAAACCACTGAGAAGTTCTCATTTATTTTGTTCAGAACAATCTTGGTGGATGAGCTGTGAGACACAAACACCTCCCTGTGGGTTCTCCAGGCCCTTACAGGACACCCCAGGGCCTGCACAGCCCACAGCCACCACCTGCGAGGACATCCTGCCCTCCCTCCCCTCTGGTTCCAGGGGCTGGCTGGCTGGCTCCTCATGCCCTGACGGCACTGGAGGGACCCCCAGGCTCCCCTCAATGCCCCCTCTCCTCCACGCTGCTGGGCACACCCCTGGAGGGGTCCCAGGAAAGCCCTACCTGAGCCAGCTGCTTACACGTTCCCACAGCACAAGTGAGCTCAAGACGGAGACTCTCCCCACGACTCTGAGGGTCCCCCCAAACCCTCCAGGCCAGTTCTCTCCCTTGGCACCTAAATCCCAAAGCTTTCCTACTAGGTTCACCAGACAGATTGGATCAAAGTACCGTCACCCCCTTTTTCTCGCTTCGGATGGGTGGGACTGGGAACCCTGCCGTGCATCCCCATGGTTCCCGTGCGCCAGAAAGTGGTCCCCTCGGCACTGGGGGAGGGGGCATGTGCCAGGTCCATCAAGGTTTTAAACGTGCCCTCAGACCACAATCCTACCATGAAAACTTCTGACGTCCCGGCAGAAAGATGCAGATTTGCTGCACTAAGAAGACCGTAGTGTCTTCATGGAAAGCTGAAGCCACCTATAGGCTGACAAGACTCCTTGCTGAGAGGGGACAGAGCCAAGGGCAGCGCTCACAGCTTCTAGAGAGCACCCCTGCTCCCTGCTCAGGGCCCACCTTCCTTACTGTGGAAGCCAGCAAGACCACATCCCTGGCTGGGCATCCCCTCTCTTCTTCTGACCACACCTGGGAAAGCTGCCCACCCTTAAGGACTCGTGTGATGCCTCCGGGACACTTGCGGTCACATCTGCACAGTCCCTTTCTCCACATCCCATAGTCGCATGTCCCAGGGGGGTGGGGCGGGAACATCTTTACGCCCTTCCTGTGACTCTGCCAACCACGACAGTATGCCCTGCAGACTGCTCATGGCCACCCCCCTTGTCCTCCTCACTCCCTCCTCTGGCGGCATCCTTGATCCCTCCGGAGGACAGACTGTGGGCTACTCAGCCACTCCTTCTGTTGGAAAATAAATGGAATTTTCTCTTGGGTCCACTTAAAGATAAGCCTAGTGAAATCCCAAACACGTCTTTCA